GTTTGAAAAGAAAATATATAAAAGATTTATTAATTATTATAACAATATAATACTGTATTTGTATGATTTTAAGCACATTTTATTATTTGAGGACTAAGTAAATTACAGTCGGTTAGTTTGGTTGATTTATGCTAAAATTTTTTTTTTAATAAAAAGCCAAAAGCGTTTTGCATTCATACTGTATGTGCACTTGATATCATAAACCGTTTTGCTCTGAGATTCAGAAATGCTTTAGGGTGGTTTATATTGTTCTTTGTACATTATGTCCTAATTAACTTGGAATCTTGAGCTAGAGCTTTGATTTATTAAAGGACATAATTAAAGAGGTATGTTTTAAATTTTAAACTTGTAAATTTTAATATTTTCCATTATAACCCGAGTTATACTAGGTTTAAGCTAGTTACATGAAAGTTGCAGGAGGGTAATTTAAATTCATTAGGTATTAGTGAAATTTTTCTTTTAATATTTCCATAAGTCTGGCCGTTCTTCCTTTATTTTCCTTTGATAAATGGTGATAATTTACATTATTAATCCTGATGGCTGAATATATAATGGGTAAGTGTTTCGGTATTAAAACTTAATATGTAAAACATTGGTTTGATATTAGATTTTTATTAAAAATGTGCTTTTTGCTCATACCTTTGATTTGATTCGGACTAGTTCTTATATTATTATTTTATATCGTACAAAAAAAGAGATAAATATATTTTTATGTTTAAAGATGAACAATAGATAATAATGTAAAACGATAGAGAAAAATAATAGACGAGTAGCAAATATAGAGAGATAGTCTTCCTTTATTTATATTTTTTTTGTTTTTTATTTATTTGCTTCGTATGAGAAGAACAATAATGAAAAAGTCTCTATTCATAATTCATATTTATTTTCTATTGTTATTGTTAAAAATAAAAAAAAAAATTATATATACTTTTTTTTTTAGAAATGTGCAAATACTGCAAAAAACAAACATATGTTATAAAAAAAAATATTAAAAAAAAAAAAAAATTTATTTTTAAAAATGTACACCTGAAATGTTTATAACTTTATTTCATAAATATAAAGACAATGATTTCTAGTTAAATGTCACTATTATTTAGCTCAATAGATGGAACTAAAATAGAGAAACAAATAAAATAAAAGAGAAACAAAAAAACAAAATGTCAATTTATTTAGAAATCAAGGTACACACAAAAAAAAGAATTTTTTTCTTTTGGAAATAAAACAATAAAAGTTGAATATCATTTTCTAACATTTTACTTGTGCAGCTTGTATATTGGCACTCCGACATCATTTCCCTTCACACAGTCTCTCTATCTCTCTTAAAATTGAGAGAGAATTTATTATTGTATACTTTTTAAAATATTTTTTATTTCAATAATTTTTTTTTTTTGCTATTTTGTTTTTTTTTTTTTTTGTAATTTTCCATTTTTATTATGAACTTTTTTTCTCTATTCTTTTTATCTCTATTATCAATTAAAATATTATTGTTCAAGGGAATAACTGCAACTAATAATAGAAAAAAAAGGACAGTCATATTTTTCATATATTCTATACCATGAATAACATACATATTTTTATACATACATGTACATATAAAAAAATCTGATGTGGTCAGCACATAACCGACCGCAATGTGTATTGTCTAGTTAAGTGAAAGTGTTACAGAATATTATAAATATGTCCGTTAAATACTTCTTTCCAATTTTTAGGACATTAGTAAGCTTATAGTTAACATACCTAGAAAAATGTAAATTTGGCTCTTAGTAGAGTTTCGCTTTGTGCTACCCGAATTCCCTGAAATGCTCGCCAGTTAGTTTCGGTAACAACCAGAACTCAAATATCAAATTTCAAGAAACTCCATAAATTCGTTCCGTAGATATGGTGAAAAACGTAAAATCGGCCCGCAAATCAGTTCTCGAGCCCTGATCTTTCCAAAAAATTTATATGTTTATAGTTTTCATACGAGGAATTTATATATTAAATTTCAATGAAATCGGTTGATTATTTCTCTTTATATACACAAAAATGTATATTTGGCCCGTAGTAAACGTCCAGTTGCTGACATCTGATTTCTTCCAAAAGTTAGGAGGTTTCATCGCCGGTAGAGCAAAACTTATATATGAAATTTCAAGTAAATCGGTTAAATATGTTCTTCAATATGCTCAAAAATGTAAAACAGGCCCGCTAAAAAGTGCAGTTCCCGAGGCCTGATATATACCAAAAGTTGATCGATCCGTGCCATGGTGGAAACAAACTTACATATAAAATTTCATCAAAATCGGTTCAGCCGAACTTGAGATAGACGCGTGCACACACAGACCGACAGACGGACAGACCGACAGACCGACAGACCGACAGACCGACAGACCGACAGACCGACAGACCGACAGGTTGCTAAAAATAGTTTATTTACACTTCCCTACTATGGAGAAGTACGTTCCCACCGAAAACTCGATATGCAAAATTTGTTGCCATCACATAACCTACCTATTGTTTACACAATACGGTCGGTAAAAATGTACAGATTGCCTTACATACACACATATTATATAAAATTATTGATATTTTAATTTATTGGTAAATATTAAGTATATATAAGAATTGTTTAACGGGTTGAAATACAGAAGAACTTTGTATGATTTCCCACTTTGAAAATGACTACTCCTAATTCTAAGTCAGTTCTACTAAGGAGCATATACGAACTGTTGTGGTCGAGTATAGAGTAGGCGTGAGCTGTATTTGCTTTCTGAATTGGATATTGCAAGACCGTATAATATTTTTACAAAAATGTGAATTTTTTTTACAAATCATTGTAAAATTACTAAAACATATTTCATATTTCATATTCAACCATCTTATCATTACTCATTTGTTATGAGTAAGATAAGATAGTTGAATATGAAATGTATTTGCTTATTGTGAATGAAAATGCCATATACAATAGGATCAATATAGAAAGATATATTGCTTACATAATGAATTGGTAGATTTGAAGATATAATTTACATAAAAAATTTACAAAAATATTGACAAGATGAGACTGAAATTGAAAAAATTGTAAACACACAGAGAATAATTTTTAATAGTGCAGTTCTATTCTTGAAATTAAGTTTGAAATATGTTTGACAATTAAGTAAAATATGAATTGTTCTAAACTTATTGTCAAATGAATTTCGTGTTGCCAACTGTCATACGATTTAAATTTACAATAGTACTATAATTACAGTTAAAGACATTTTTGATAAGAGGTGAAATTTAACGGTAAGTTAACGTTTTTGTCTATTATTTTACTAAAATTGATTATAAATCACTTGACACAATAAGAGACAACCTGTACAATTCATTTTAGTTTAAATAAAGAATTTTTTTTGCTTCATGTACAAATATTAAAAAAGTAAAAAAGTGTAAACAGAAATTTTTTTCATATATTTTAATTTAGTTCATTTACTATTATTATATTTGTCATTTATTAAATAAATGATAAAAATTTTAGCGGCAAAATATAATACGATTTTTTTTTAGAAAAGAGAAAAAATAACAATCAGTTAACGGTCTAAAAATTAAAAAAAAATAAAATTATATTTTGTTTGTTTTAAATGGAATTCAGAGATTGAAATATTAGATTAATTTTTTATTATCCAATTATTTACGAAATTAAAGGATACTGTCACTGGATAGTGGTTGCTCTAGAATCATTTGTTATAAAAAAGAAACATTATGTTTTTGATTGTGTTAACAATTTAATTATGAAAAAAGCTTTAAATGTAGAAAATTTAATTTCAAAAGCGAGAAAAATTATTTATTAATAATGTTGCTTTAATTTTAATATTTTTATGGTAAAATTTATGTTCAATATCTCACAGTTGATTAAGTTTGGGAGTGTTGCGAACTGGAAGCAAAAATTATAATATAATGAAATACAGGCAATGAAGAATTAAACTAAGCTTAACAGAAACTCGGTTTAGGCGGACACTTTTGAAAATTGTTAATGTGAAACGTCATGGTGTTTCTCGATTCCATGCTCGTATAGTACTACTCGTAAAGCTAATCTGACCATTGGTGCAGTGGTTATGGCACCGGTCCTTTAACCGAAGGGTCTCGGGTTCAAACCCCGGTCAGGTCACTATATTCAATATTATTATAACTTAATATACAATACTAATAAATATTATACAAGTAATTTTCAAATATTCGTAATATTCCATATTAAAAAAAAACTAAGAAAAATAAACAGTAAATATTAATAACCTCAAATAATTAATATAAATAAAACTACGGCAGGTTAGTCACCTACCTAGTTAAACTCTATCACGCTATGAAACTAGTGCATGAGAAATCATGCACTAGCCCTATGCTCCTTCTAGGAGTGAACAAAGGAAAAAAAAAAAAAAAAAAATAGTACTAAAGCTAATCAGGCGTCTGAAGAACATGTGAATACGAGTAAAAAACACAAAGTTGTATAAAACATATGAAAGCTCCGATCTCTAACCGTTAAAAAAAGAAATATTTACTTGAAAATTAAAAACCGTCTAAGTTAAAATTTGAAATTTTTGAATTTATTTTTAATTCAGATTCCGCATAGTTTAATCAACATTTTGTATAAATTTGATTAATTTATCTTGACATGTTTCGAATTTATGAGCAAATATGTAAACAATTACAATTCTTTCGTAAAACCTAAACTTCAGACTTATTAAGCCACCTTTGAGAGTTTTTGAACAATTTATAAATTAAGAATTCTCTAGAGTTCAAGGTATATGTATTCTGTTAAAATTTTTATTAAACTGCTTCACTTTTTAAAAATTTTGTCATAAATTTCAAATTTCATATATTTCACGATACACGAAAAATTAATAAAAAAATAAAATTATATTATAGTAAATCAAAACCTATTGGATAATAAAATTCCTTTCACAAAATACTGCAAATTAAATAATATCTATATTTATTTAGAATAATAAATTTCTATTGTAAAATATTTTTGGTATTCATTCACTTACCGCATCATCATAGATAATGATTGTTCCTCTTGTAATACACTTTCTAAATACATCATATCCAAATCAGAAACAATTGCACCATTGATAACCATTATTTCATCTCCTTTGATAATACCTATGAGAATTAGAACGAAAAAAAAAATGAAATTTTTAATCGGATGAATAAAAATGATATTACCATTGAAAATTTTTAAATAAAATAAATAAAATAAAAAAAATATCTAGGTGAAGGTTTTTTGTTACACTCAAATATTTTAAATTTTTTTTTAGATTTATGTGAAAAAATATGTTTAATTTAATACTAATAGTTTCAGTTTCCGGCTAGTTTGTAGTTTCCTTCAAATTTTGCAGAAATTGAACAAATCTTCAGAACGTTTATATTTTACAACGTGTCATCTATTGAAGTATTGAAATTTTCTTATCTTTAGCTTCAAATATTAAAAATTCTAAAAATTTGCTTTATACAATGCTACACAAAATTTAATTAAATTATCCTTGAATTTAATTAATTATTTTAATAAATTTTCTTTTTTGCTTATTATAAAAGTTAAAATCAAATCTCATTGTTCATAACTATTCACAATAGCTTGTAAATTATTTTAATAATAAATTTTTGTATTTTCAATTCCCATAACAATTCATTAATTAAAATTATAATCGTAAAACAATAAATTTATAATTTATTGAATGAAATTTTGCAATTAAATTTATAAAATTGGCAAAACTAATTAAAAATATATATATATGTATATTAATTAAGAATAATTAATTTGTAATAAATTTTCTTATTACAAATTAATTTCTTAATTAAATGAGATTCAAAGAGCTTAACAATACAAAAGAAAAAAAATATAGATACTTGACCATGAACACTTAAGATCATCGTTTATTTCACAAAGTCAATTAATTATCCTTTATTTGATACAAATAAATTTTAAGTTGTTACTAAGTTTTTTTTTTTATTTCAATAAAAAAATTTATTAAAGTGGATTTAATGGAAAATATAAGTAAAGTGGAAATAATTTGAAATTTTTACGTTTCTACGAATAAAATTGCATATTTTAAGGCGTACAAAAATTATTTACGAAACAATTGTAAATGACGGATGAAATTAGTTTTTGTGCTATTAGAGTTCAGCTAAAATTAAGAATTAGGTGTAATATCCATTATGTGATGATTAATTAATTTTAAAATTATACAATTTGGTACATTCGTAGCGAAATTCTAATCACTAGAAATCACATTCTCTCTCATTAACTTAGTTTGAATAAATCGATATTAAAATCTATATTATTATAATTGTTGTTAAAGCAACATGAAATGAATTAACTTTCGTAACTCCTAAGTTATATGGGAATCAATAACTATAAAGAGTTGGAGAATTTACACAAATTCTTTGAGTTTGCATTACAATTTCTGTTTTTTTTCTTGTATCGAATCTCAAAATTTGGTTTTAGAAAACTTAAATTTCGATTTTTCATTTAATTGCATGAACCTTAGGGTGCAGATGGTACGAAAAAAAAAATTGATCTCCCTTTGTCAAAACACGTAAAAAGGTAAAAAAGTATTAAAAGATCTAATTAAATCATTGAAAAAAATCACAACTAAATTTTATTATTAACATACAACTATAGCATTTTGAGATTTAAATATAGATTTTTCTAATAACACCTTATACAAATATTGTATGTTGTGTGTTTGTATTAATCTAAACTAGGTTAGTTAATTAGGTAGGTACCGCCATCAAATATAAAAACGTTTTTCATTTTAAATATAACAAAAAAAAAAAAATAATATTTTTCGTTTTTAAATTCATTGTGACAACGAAAAAAAAAAAAACGAAGAAATGCAAATTGCAGTAAAAATAGAAAATTTTATTCTTTCTTTTTGCTTTGCAATTGAAATGAAAAGTTCATTTTTCATTTTTCAAGCTAATGAGGACCATTAAATTATTTTTTTTTTTGTGACTTAAACTTAAAAAACAAAATGAAATAAAAAAATTTTAGATTTTTTTTTTTGTTTTCTTTTAGTAATTAGCTGATTCAAAGCTACTTTAGAAACGAAAGAAAAAGCAAAAAAAAGAAAAGAAAATTCAAGAATTTCATTTTGGTGAAGCAACCTATAGTAGCTATATACGAATGATGAAGGAAAATATTCACCTGATAAAGATTAAAAAATTATTCATTAGAATGGAATTTTTCTATTTTTTTTTTTTTTTGCTGGCAAAGTGCTATAATTATTCAAAATTCTAAAAAGTAGAAAAAAGAATTTAAAGAAAATTTCAACCACTTCATTCTTTTTAGAATTAAAAAAAATTTGTTGTTTTTCCTCTTCAGCAAAATTGGCAAATACACAATTTATCAAAGTTCTAATGAAATAAAGAAAATATTCTTTTGGAAAATGAAAAAAATTTGCAAATTGAGATTTTGTATTTTTTTTCATAAAATTATTCATGTGGTAGTTTATCTAGCTAGAGCTTAATCTATTTTTAAAAATAAAGTAAAATTTTCAATATATTCATAATTAAAATAAATTTGCATATCTTTTGGGGCAGAATTTTATAAATTCTAGAAAAGACGTCAAATGGTTATTCTTAAAGTTTTTTTTTTTTTAAATTTCTGTTAAGGAAATTATTTATAATAAAATTTTTCTTTGGGTTTTGACTTATGTGAATATTTTGATATTTAATTGGAATTAAATAAAATTTACAAAAATAATAGTAAAGGATATGGTAAAAAAGTGAGTAGTTTTATTCTAAAAATTTGAAAAAAAGATATGAAGGGTAATGTTTAAATCAGATAAAAAATCTCCATGTTATTTAAGCGGTATACTATCTACGATATTCCCCTCAATTTAAGCCTTTTTAGCTTTTCCAAAAATTGTAAGATATTATAAATTTTTTGTGTGACAAATAAGGACTAAATATTAAAAAATTTGTATAGGAATAAGTAAACGATATGTAAGAATATTATATTTCAAAAATTTTTATTTTAGTTCTGTTTAGGCGACCTGGTGTTTTATTTCATTCCCACTCATGAGTATAATTTTCAAGAACATGTTGGAACAATAATTGGATTTAAGGCTTATGAGATTTCATCAATGATATGCGAAAAAATTATATATTTTTGTTCAGTTCTTTTCTGTAGCTGTAAAAATAGCTGTAAAATAACTTTTAATATTAATTCTCCTCACAGATTATATACGGTTGCTGATGATCACAGATTATAAACCTAAAAAATCTCAATGCAACAATAAGTTTTTGGAAAATTTTATTTAATTCGCAAATGATCTTGTTTGGAGATCTCTAGCCAGATTATTAGCACAATTTAAATTTATTTCATAAAGAAGAATATTACCACATACGGTAGAAATGCTATGAAACAATTGAAAGAGTAAAAGTAAAAAATTTTGGGATGCCAATAAAATTTTATTAAGAGAATTTTTATATAAATTTTTGAATAGTCGCCAAGGACAACGTAAGGGAACCTATAAGGGAAGTAATGAAACTTTATTATAATTTTTTTTTTAAATAATTTTCAAGTTTTTTAATAGTAAATACTAAAATAGTAGAAAATCACGTTTTTTATTAAAAAGAAATATTTAATTTAAATTGTAAGGGAAAAAAAAAGAAACTATTTTTTTTTTCAAATAAAAATAGAAAAATTTACTAAAAAAATAAAAGGACACAATAAAGTAAAAGAGTAATAAGATGACATAGATGAGCTGAAGAAAGGACAACGAAGAAAGAATGAAATCGTAAAAGCGTAAAATTACAAAACGTGTTTTCTTTTTTGTTTATTTTAAATTGTAAAAAAAAATGCTCAACAACAACTATAGAAAAAGAAATGAATTTAAGGACAACCTTTTAAAACAAAGAAAAAACAAATGCAACAACAATAAAACATTACAACATTTTTATTTCATTTCCACCTCTTTGAAAGCATTTAAACCAGGAAATGCACTTAAACTATCTTTACAATTGCATCTTTACAAAATAAAATGGGAATAAAATGTTTAAAAAAGGAAAGCATAGAAGTGAACACCGTTTAATAATGGTAATTTTAATGTTTATAATGTGTTTTATTTCTGTATATTCTATTGGTGTAATATTAAGGATAATAGTAGAATAATACAAATATCACAATAGTGGAGGAGTTTCTTTGGAATAATAGGTATAGATACTAAGTATTCGTTTTACATGTTTGCCATATCGAACGAATTTATATTTGAATATTTACAATTATTTCAAGTAAAATGGAAATGATTCAATCTTGTACTTTAAGATTTAATATTCATTTTTACAGTACAAAATAAATTTTAATGCTAATGGGGAAAATTTATTTATGAAATTATTCTCATATGTTCTTATTACTTCAAGGATTAAAACCTTTTTTTTTTCCAATAATTTAATTTCTCCTTTTTTTTTGTATTACTCTTTTCATATAATATAAGTACTTTATAGTTGAATGGTAGATAGTATTCAATTTATGTTTAAAAAGTGATCATATTCACCTTGTCCCACAATTAAAATAGAATAGTAAAGAGTAATGTAGAGATGAGAATATTGGAAAGAATTCTTAAAAAATTCGGTATTCTTTGTTTGGCTCCAATCGTATAAAAACCTGTTTAAATTTTTTTCGAAATTTTCGGAATAACATAAAATTATCTATGTTCCTTTAATTTCATAGTGTAAATAATTCCACATAGCCTAGTCCTAGCCACATTTGAAAAATTAACTTACGCCCCACTATGGGTTCTTATTTTATACTCGTTTATTTTCCACTGCGAATCAAGCTATAAGTCTAAATCGAGCCTGTCTTATATATAGTTAAAAAATTATATAAGCAACCATATAAAAAATAATGACTGGCACCCCACATTGAGTCTTTATTTTACAATAATTCGCAAATCATTCTTACAATCATTTGAACTAAGGTATAGTAATTCTGATATGAGGCTGCTTTATACGCAGTTACAACATTATAATATAAGGCTTTATATTCTCACAGCCCAATCAAGTAAATATTATTGCCATTTTATGATTAATGATTGTAATATCTGCTTACTGAAACTCTTCATTATCTTGCCGTAAATAAACAAATATAATTGTTATTA